TTGTAATACCTGTTGAAATTTCAGAACCTGGATGTGTCTGATGGGATTTCTTCTGGAAGCTGAGAACTTGATCTAGTTTCATGTGTAGTCGCGTCAAGATAAATGTTGCAAAGCAAGGTAAATGATTGTGTGAGTTTTTGGTTTCATTTGCATAATCTGTGCAGCTTGTTGTCTCCAGTTTTACTCAACACAGAATTGTATTTAAAAAAAACAAACAAACACTCAAATCGGCTCTGTATGTAAAATATTCAATGACCTTTCCTCCCACTTCTGTCAATAACGCCTCAAATCCACCATCAAGTTAAATTCTCTGCCAAGGTCGTTTTCTGCTAAAGAGGAACTCAGGAATGGCAGCTGGGGATAACATACCTAATGTGGGCAGATTCCTTTCTTTTCCTAGTGGGGCCGTGGCTTTTTATGAGAAACCTTAAACCTAGAGAGAATAGAGAAGCTACTCTTTTCAAAACATGTTGTCCGATCTAATTGCAAGAAGAATAAGCTTGTAATCATGAGATGTTTGAGGCTCTGAAGAGGCCAGAAGAGAAGAGCTGTTGGAAAGGAACAAAAAGGAGGGGGAAAAAATCCACACAACACAAATGTTGGGAACTGAAAAGGTGTCATTAATCTTGTCAGGGCTCATCCTTGTTGCTTCAGCCTACTTAGCTGCATCCCTGAAGAAACTCATAATCATAGAATTGGAAGAGACCACAAGGGCCATCCAGTCCAACCCCCCGCCATGCAGGAACTCAAAATCAAAGCATCCCCAACAGATGGCCATCAAACTTATGTTTAAAGATTTCCAAAGAAGGAGGATCCACCACAGTCCAAGGTCCACTATTGAACAGCTCTTACTGTCAGGAAGTTCTTCCTAACGTTGAGCTGGAATATCCTTTCCTCTAGTTTGAAGCCATTGCTGTGGGTCCTGTTCTCTGGAGCAGCAGAAAACAAGCTTGCTCCATCCTCAACATGACATCCCTTCAAATACTTAAACAGGACTATCATATCACCTCTTAACCGTCTCTTCTCCAGGCTGAACATACCCAGCTCCCTGGGTTTCTCTTCAGAAGGCATGGTTTGCAGACCCTTCACCATTTTAGTTGCCCTCCTTTGGACACGCTCCAGCTTGTCAACATCCTTTTTAAATTATGGTGCCCAGAATTGGGCACAATATTTCAGGTGAGGCCTGACCAAAGCAGAATAAAGTAGCACTATTACTTCCTTTGATCTAGAACATCATACTCAAGTCCTGATCAGCAGCTAAGCAGACTCCCTCCATCAGATTTAGCTGCTGGCTGTTAAAGTGGTCAGCGCAGGGGACATGTATGTATTTTTACAGTAAGATTACCCAGTTCTACTGAATATAGATCAATTACAGATTAATAACACCAGATTACAAATCCATAACTGCAATGCAGAATATCAACTGTTAATTCATCCATGCTCTGACTAGATACTACTGGCTAACCCAGGTGGGCTCTTACTTTCTTCTATGTGGGCAGAAAATGTGCATGTCTTGAAGTGCTGTTCCGGCTTCCTTGCATGGGTTCTCTGCCTCTGATGAACCTTACTCAAGCAGTTACAGCGAGAAGATTTCCAGTAAGATTCCACCTACAAAGAAAAGCCTTTCTGTGTCTTTCTTTCTGACGTCATCTCCTCCTCTTCCCTTCTCCCCTTCCCACGCATTTTGGCTTTTCTGAGCCTGGCTCCATCTCTGTCCATCTCTAAAGCTTAGGGAGGAGTGACTCTTTCATTCAGGCCCTCCACCTCCTCTCCTCTCCCACTTTTCTGGAACTCCTTTCCTCTACACTCCCTTTTCTCCATCTTCACTTCCCTCCACCCTCCCTGCAAGCAACTGACTCATTTCCTCCCCCTGTTCTCTCTCTCTCTTTCTCATTTTTTGCCCATTCTCTTTGGCCTAAAGACAGCTTTCCCTGGGTCCTATCCTGCAAGCAATCCCCAGGATATAAAGATTTTCCCAAGGTAAGCTGTGAGATTGCTCTTAGGAGATATAAATTTCTGGACAATTAGTCAGAATCCCATTCCTTCATACAAATAAAAGGAATCTTGGTGCAAAGGCAAAAGTGTATAAGTGCAAGGAAATACTATTTACACCAAGTACAACACAACACATGAAGTTGGGGTGTGGTGTCACAGCACAGGCCACATGTTCTTTGGATCGACCTTATAGAAAGAGGAGTGAAAGAGTCACTCCTCCCTAGGCTGTAGAGATGGACAGAGATGGAGCCAGGCTCAGAAAAGCCAAACTGCCTTACACTGAGATACAGTCACCAGACTGAAAACTGGAGACGGCTTCAGTATCTTTAATAGTTGTGTAGAAGAAGAATTTCAGCAGGTATGGGACCAACTGTCCCATTTAATCCTCTGTTGTCCCACTTTTTTTCAGCCACCTTTAAAATGTCCTGAGTTTTTTCTTCCTCTCCCACATCCTCCTTTGTCTTCAGCTCCCATCAGTTGCTGCAAACTTGAGTTCAAAGTGCAAAAGTAGTTTGCATTCCATCAACTTTGCAGGAGTTAAGGAAGAAGAGGGGGCAGAAGCATGCTTTTCCCAGTAGGCTCAGGGGAAAGCAAACTGCTGCAGCCTTTCCTAGCTTGTGTCTTCTGCCTCAATAATAACTTTTGCCATCTTGACTACACTCTGATGTTGCTTGACCAAACTTATCCCAGTTTTCATGTGTGAAATACTGGAGGGTATGATGGTTCCCTTTAAGCACGGTCATTCATAGGAGCTTGGCGTGTACTGCAACTTTGTGACACACCAAATTGTTGTAATGGGTTAATTAATCAGTACATCTTTGTGTAGACAAAGTCACCCTACCAAAGAAAAAGCAAACTGACTGTGCCAAGGTAACGTATACAAGTGACTGAGGGTTGGTCTACACTGGCCAGAATACTCCAGAGTATTCCTGGAGTATTCTTGTTCTGAAGCTGCCCTGAATTGCCTCCAGTTGCTCCCTCTGAAGTCAAAAAAGAGGTGCCCAACATCAATTACATGGCTGGACTCCTCATTGTGTGACCAGTGGTGGTGGTGCCAGGAGGCATGGTGGGAATCTCTTTAAACGTTGTTCTCAGCGTTGTTCTGGAGTGCTCTGGATTTTCCTGGAAGATCCAAAGCAAAAGGTAAGTTATTTTAAACTAGTTTAAGGGAGGGATGACCCAGATCCAGTGCAGAATTGGTTTTTTTCACGTGAAGATACTTTGCACCTGAATTGGAGCTTTAGTCCTGCATCATCTAGACAGGACAATGTGATGGTGGAGGGAAAGTGGTTTTAATGGCCTGTGTAGACATGTCCTCAGAGGACAGAAGGAGTGTACCCTCTCTAAGACAAGGAGGAATGGCTCTTCTAAGGTGGGAGGGGATTGTGGCCATCATGAATAAAAAAGAAATGTGTAGAGACTATTGTGTAATGTGTACAACCAGTATGGTGTAGTGGTTTGAGTGTTGGACTACAACTCTGAAGACCAGGGTTTGATTCCCAGCTCAGCCATGAAACCCACTGGTCAACCTTGGACAAATCACATGCTCTCAGCCTCAGTGTCCCTCAGGGGAAGGCAGATGGCAAACGTCCCCTGAACAAATCTTGCCAAGAATGGTCTTAGGATCTCCTTAAGTTGGAAATGTCTTGAAGGCACACAACACACACACATGCACAGAGACTGTTCTGAAAAATAGCCCTCTTGGGTGTACTGGTCAGCGCAGAACAAAATCCAGAATTCTTACTAGAAAAATCTCTTCTGAGAAATTAAGCTCCCTCCCTCCCTCCCCTTCATTCTTCTAATATTGGTTGGTTGCTTGCTTTCTAGTTATTAAAATTACCTTTCCAGTTAGATGCCCACTTCAGTGCCACCAGTTTATGTGCATTAAGTGTGGTCGTGCTACTTGTCATGGCTCCAATCATTGAACTTGTTCAATGAGGTAGTTCCCATTCTGTGCTAAAGAGTTTTAGGCCGCTTTCCTGAACTACAAATCCTAAGATTCTTTAGGACACTGTCTAATAGAAGTGGCGTGAAAGACATGTTGTGCAGACACACCTCATGCGCTCTGGCTCATGAAAGTTTATGGTGTTAACTGAGATATATGCTTATATTTTTAGTCTTCAAGACACCATGTCAATTTTCTGGGTGCAGCATTGTCTGTACTTGTTGTTCTTTTTAATTGTTACGCTTTAAGCTGCTTTAAATTCTGTTGATAACTTCCTTATATTTGGTTGTTTGTATGATGTAAACCAGGAGTAGGCAACCTTTTTGAGCTGGGGGTCAGGTTGCTGTCCCTCAGACAATTGGGAGGGCTGAAGCACCATAAATAAATAAATAAATAAATAATTGTTTTTTTAAAAAAAATTAAAAATATGCATGCACACTCTCTCAGCCCCCGAAAAGCCATGGCAAAACCCCTGTGGAGATTTTGCCAAGAAAACCCCAAGAACAAGTAATAACAACAATAATCAATATCATCATGGTGGGTGGCGGTGGCGATGGCGGCGGCGGGGCGGCAGTGGCAGGACCGGCCCGGGGGGGTCCAAAGGCCTTGGGGGGCCGCATCCAGCCCCCGGGCCTTAGGTTG